AGGATTTTGCAAAATACTTTTGGTTCTTAGAAGGAAAAAGTACTGTAAAACACAATGGCATCACTTTTCTATCAGCAGAGTGGACATAGGAGTAAGAGATGAATCAAGATGAACAATATTTCTGGCTTGAATAACTGGATGGTGTTGCCATTCACTCAGCTAAAAGACACTAATACATGGATAATAAAGACAAGCACATCTAAGTAGGTACCAGCTATCTACTTAGTGAGAAAGTAAAAAGCTACTCCAATCACTAATTAGAACTTCATATGAGTTATAAACAAATACTACAAAAGCTCATTAACTTGAAGTTTATAATCATTCAAACTGGAATGGGCATCTAAACAGGAATAGTTATACAAATTCATGAAACAGAAAAGAGACAAATATACTTAAAAAATTAACAGCAAAAAGATACTATTAATGAGAAACTGGCTTTTAATTATTAAGGCAGGTTGTTACCAAATTATATTTAAAGTACTGTTATTTCTTCAAATACTTTATAAATTAGTATCAAATCACCAAATATTTGATACAGCTACTATGCCAGGCAGTATGCCAGCATCTCAGGATAGTAACACATAGGTTAGGTTTGTTACTTAAAAATTTGCTCTTCCATTTAATCTGAATTTGTGGATTTTACTGGACAAAGTGGAGCAATAGCTAAATATAAGAGCAAAATTTTATTCACAATTAACTACAGAACACTCAATTCATATTACTAATGTAATATGTGTGAAGGATAATAAAATGAATTTGATATTAAATTCCTCATTATTAAAACAAAATCTAATGTATGTCCAGGAAAAAAATACCTAATCTCTTGTACTTTTCCATTTATATTTCTATGTAATGAAAACATATTCAGAACAATGATCTTGAGATACTAAAATATCTCCAATCACAAAGATTGGAGAGTAACAAGGCATGAAAAAGGGACTAGAAGATTTAAAAAGGAGGACCAAATTTAAAAACATGTTCAACCAAAACTGAAGTGAAGAGTGTTTCAAACTAAGTGAGTTAAAGATGCTACAAGGGTACTTCAAAAAGTTTGTGGAAAAATAAAATTAAAAGATAATACAAATCTTTCCACGAACATTTTGAAATACATTTGTATTTTCTTAATGTTAAGTTCAAGATTTTATAGTAGTTGGTCAACTATCAAAATCCAAGACTTACTGTCCTCCTCTTTCTACAAGTGTCTGGCAGAGGTATTTTCTTGCATTCCTGTGAGTTGGACAGTTTTCTAATGCAAGTTCAAAATCTTCTATTGCTTTGTTCAGACTTCCTTTTGTTGCATATCTGGGAACATGAAACAAAATTAGAAGAATTTATCTTGTGAGCTATTCATAAATCCTGTTCACATTTACCTTGTAAACATTCCTTAAAATCCACAAATCACTTACAGTGCTCCACGAGCTACCAAAGCTTCCACATTTTGTTTGTCTATTTCCAGAGCTTTATTGTATTCATTCATAGCATCCACATGGCGTCCAACCTTAAAGTAATCAACTCCAATCTTGACACTAAAAGAGACGTTTATAAAGCATCACAAACATTCCACAAAATATCTAAATAAAATGTTAGCGTAAATAAATTTTAAAAGTAAATGTAATCAAATTTGACAAATATTTGGCTTTCAAAATCTCTCATACCTAAGAAGCATTCTGCCTTTGGATATTTTCATAATAAATATTTATAAAACTCAGATATCGGTACCAATTCCTTTTGAAAAACACTAAAATGCTGGATAAAAAAAACTTAAGTCTGTTAAGTGTACAACTTAAGACCACTTACACCTATTTAAAAAAAACTAACGTCAGAAAGGCATCTTTTAAAATTACTTATAAACAAATTTTGGTCTTAATGATATGCGAATGCTTGCCTTACTCTTACTTTTTAGACTACATAATATAATTGCTGAAAGACAGTTTTCATACCATTTTAAAGCCCAAGATGCAGATTGTTTCTTCCTTAAAGCAGAAGCAAAATCATCTTCAGAGAAATTTTTGCTATTAAAGAAAAGTCAAACTGTAAATACTTGTTAAATAATTATACTTCACTCTGCCTGACAGGAACACAACACTGAAAGAGTGAATCCCAAGAAATTTGTATTCCATTTACATAGCAAAATCCTTGAACTGTCAAAAATAATTATTGTTAAACAGTATTTTCCTTTAGCATATATACAAAATTCTTATAAAAAAAGTTTCTGCATTCTCTCTACTTGGTCACATAGTACACATCTAATCACTGAGAACACTGAGAAGAGAGTACAGTCTAGGAAATGGGATCACCTGGTTCATTCAACCATTGGGATATTCCTGCCACTAGGCCTAAGATGGTCAATTATGTCCTTCAGCTATGCAGCTTCTGGGCTTAGCACCATTCCCTTACCACCTAAGAGAATAATACTGATTTACTATACCTTTGTAGGCCTCTCATTAAAGATGGTGGATTAGATTCATCTATTCCTAGTTTTTCTAAAAGGAATTCAACTACTCCTGGATTAACAAATCCCAAGGAACTCTGCATGATATTTTCATAGGACTCCAAAGAATTGCTATTGAGTTCAACACTCCTCCTTAAAAAAAAGAAAAACACACACATATACAAAAATGTAAGAGTAATATAATTAGCACATCCCATTTCTAATAAACATCATCACATGAGATTTAAATGCTAACACCATTTTTGTACATGAAGGGGTGGCAATATTATATGGTTCCTTTTGCGAAGTTTGTTTATGAAGACATCTTGTAATAAGAGAAATTAAAACTCCACTCTGTCAGAAGCTTGACAAAATTTGCTGTTTTTTAATCCAAGAAACATTTGTAACAAACTGTTGTTGAAATAATACGAATATTACCTGTAGTACAAAGGAAGTTCTTCAGAGCTAATTACACCCAATTTAATACCAGATAGGTATGGTGGAAGAGATGAGCTATACAGAGATACTGCAAGCTTTTCATGGTATCTGTCAATATCCTTGATTCCAGCTTTAAAAAAAAAAAAGAAAAAGAACTAAGCTGATTAATAAGAAAATATAAACTAACATAAAAAATATAACACTTCCCAAACACTACTCTTATAGACTAAATTTTATAAAAGCAATAATTCAACAACTGTTATTTTTTATTAGTATGATGAAACTGATCACCTCGAATGATGTCACCAGTTTGGTAATATGATAAAGGATCCCCGTGTTTACTGTGAGAAGGCACATCTCTTAGTGGACAAAGAGCCTGCAATGAGAGAGAGCATTTTTTTTTTTTTTTGGACCGGTAAGGGTATCGCAACCCTCGGCACAGTGTGGTCCGCCCCAGGCTCAGCCAGTGAGCGCACCGGCCATCCCTATATAGGATCCGAACCCATGGTCTCGAGAGAGAGAGAGAGAGAGAGCGAGAGAGAGAGAGAGCATTTTAAAACACCAAATATTCATTTTTCGGTGAGAACAGTGTCTTCTTTTAGCTTTTCAGTATGAACAGCAAATAGTTGACATGAACATTAAAAAATCACCACCACCATAAAGTTTAAAATAAGGATTTAAGTTACAAGTAATTTGTGTCCAAACAATAGCAAAACATATTTTCTGGTTCAATTCAAAAACTAAAATCTCATGAAACTTTCTATTAGTTTTAGGAACCGAATATAATATGGATTATGAAACAAGAAGATATTTTGCATTTGTCACAAAAAACCACTAAAATTTGTTCAGAAAGTATAGGGATTCCAATGAAAATAAAACGTAATTATCCCAAGGTTTTTATGTCTTTATCTAGTCTAATATCTTATGCTTTTCCTCCTTTTCAACTGCCTGGATAGGCAGGAAATTTCAAATCTTTTAAAGCAACACACTATCTCAAATTTAGGACTATTCATTTTGGGTAGAATATCTTATAATGTACAAATCACATACATTTAATTATTGTAAATATATAAATATCAGGAATTTTTCTCTGAATTATCCACATGCACATATCTAATGTCAAACACTAAGAATAATTAAGAATATGTGCTGGCCGGGTTAGCTCCTTTAGCGGCCTTGTAACACGAAGGTCAAGGATTCAGATCCTTGTACTCTCTAGCGACCCAACAAAACAAAACAAAAACAACAAAAAAGCAACAAAAAAACCAGAATATGTATGTTCAATTAGAAGAAATAAGTGCAGACTACCAATCAACCTCACCATGTCTATGGATACCTTTTTGAGCATTTAAAAAAGGGCAATCCCTACTAGAGTTCAAAAGAAACCCCAAAGCCAGAAATGGAGGAAGAAATGGTGTGAAGTTACTCTTTAATAATTTTTTTAAAAGAAAAGCTACTTTGTTTTTTTCAATTAATACTTATTTATTTCAGCAAGTATACTTAAGTATACTTTAAGTGTAACTGGATGCAAAGACATAATTCTTGTATTGAGATGAATATATAAGAAACAGAAGCAATCCAAACTGAAAAGTAACTTACTGTGATTTCTAAGTGGGATATATCTCTCATGATGCCACTTCCTAAGCAGATCAAGACCATGAAAAAACCAAATTCCCTAATGGAACTAATTCTTCCAATCACTATATCACCACGCTCAATATCTCTGAAAAACAGCTCTCTCCGGTCCATACTAGGTATTTCCATGAATTGTTCTAAAGGTGGCATGACTGCATAATGATCTGGAAAAAATAAAAAATAAAAAAAATAACAGAATCACTAACAATTGTTTTGAGTTCATTTCATCTGAAGTACGTTAAACAGCAATCTTAAAAAGATTTTAAGACGAATGAACTGGCTGGTTAGCTCGGTTGGCTAGAGAGGAGTGTTGCAACACCAAGGTCAAGAGTTCGGATCCTCGTACAAGCCAGTCACCAATAAATAAAAAAAAATTAAAAAAAAGATTTTAAGACTAAATTCACCTTCATTGTCTTCATGAACTCCAAAAGGTGCGGGTGCATCTGATTTCCAGGAAACCGCAAAAAGAAGATCTGCTTTTTTGGAGATAAAGTTTTGTATTTCCGTGTTGTCAACTCTCCTTTCTTTTCTTAAAAAGAAACAAAATTGATAAAAATTGGTTTATCTGCAAAACCTTTTACGTCCAAGCTTCTGCTTATGGCTTTCATCGCCCAATCAGCTTCACCCTGAACTCCTCCGAGAAAAAGTTTCAACCAGGCATTCCCTCATTTGCCAACCCGGAGATGGAGGGCGATTAAACTTAAAAAGTGATGCCTCCAACACCAGATACGAAAGCCCCAGGGCTTTTAGTTAGAGTCCATGCCTCTGCTAGGCAGTGCCAGAGGAAAAGTTCGCCCACTGCCCGCACTGCACACCACCAGGAGCGCAGACCCTCCCCGCAGACCCTCCTCCACTCAAACTCTCCGCACCAGCGCGACAGTCCTCACATGCTCACGGCCGCGGCTCCGTTGTTCCTGGACGCAGCGCTAGGCTGCGGTAGTGGAACCTCGAGATGCGTTCCCTCCCCAGCCTCAAAGCAGCGCAGCAGTCTCTTTACCTGCCCTGTAACTGCTGCTGGTGCAGAAGGCCCCGGGCAGGATCGGCCACCGACCCCAGCAGGCTCCGGAAGTGCGGGTTGTCCTGCTGTTCGCTCCGGAGCAGGGAGAGCAAAGACGGCCCGTGGCAATTCAGCGACTGCCGCAAAAGGTCCCGGTCCATGGCCAGAGACTGCTGGGCCTTATGGCCAGTGGGCTGCTAGTCCCCTGTTCCGTGCCCACTACTTGGGCCCGGAGGTCCGGAAGGCTGAGGAAGCAGGTTGGAAGCCGCCGGAACCACACAGCAGAGTGACTTACGTGGTCTCCTCCCGGAAGTGTTTCCGCACCGCCCCCAGCGGCGGCGCGGCGGCGATCGGCCCGAGTCTCGCGAAGCCCAGCGATACTACGGAAGCCTAAAGGAAAAGGCTATGCATTTCCTGGGCTGAGGGCTGACCAGGGTTTCGAGGAAGTGGTGTGTGTGAGGAACTTGCTTTTGAAAATTTACGTGGTGTCGTAGTAGTCCGAGCTCTAGTCTGGGGTAAATAAAAACTCATTTTCATATTTACTGAGGCGCTTTTAAGTGCCAGTGCCAGGATGAGAACCCCAAATGCGTGGCACAAGATTCTTCCCTCAGTGTACTCACTGGATAGATCAACACCTACGTCTCGGGCATAACCACATTAAAACGGCTGCGCTGGGAAGGCTTCGTGGTAGACTAAAATGCACGAGAAAGGAAGGACACTAACATTTGTTAAGCAGCTGGAGTTGTGTTCTCCATCCACAACACTCCATTCACTGTTAGTGATTTTAGAGTTACAGACTAGAATGGCTGTAATGTCTAGACATATGCTTATGTAATTCTAGTTTTATAATGCCTTGTTTCTTTCTATACTTTAGTTTTTCTCAGTGGTTCCTCAAAATTTAGTGTCTGTAAGACTTACTGGGTAGTGTTCTGTACACAAACGTAAAACATACTGAATTTATGGGTGGTTCAAGTGGTTTTGAAAGGTCATTTCGACTTAGGATTTTTTTCCCCTTCTTATTCATTGACTCGAAGACCTAACCACTGTGTCTCATTGTACTCTCATTTTAGAGAATGAGGAAATTGCTCAATGTCACCCAACTAGTAAGAAGCTAGCTTTAGGATTCCAGCTTAGGTCTTAATAGGTCTTCACAGCCAGAATTGCTCGACAGATTATTTTATTACACAGAAGTTCTAACTAACCCTAATTTTGAGATAATGTGGCTTTGTTTTATTCTAATATGATAAAATCTGTACCATTTAATTATATGTAGTTCAGCATAGTCTTCTAGAACAGAAATAAATTTAACAGTTAGTTTTACCCCTCTACAGCCATGTATCTTTGGGAAGATCAATTTGCCCTTCATTGTCTCACCATCAGTGTAGGAGACCCCACCTAGGACGTAATGGATGCCTCCACACTATTTTGTGGGTAATCCACTTAGATAGGTAAACAGTTTACTCAGACTTGAGAAAATGGAATAAAGAACAAAGCAAGTTTAAGGACCTAATTGTTTGGGGGAACTGAGAAACCCAGTGTCTGAGAACAATATACCAAAGAGTGGTACTTAGCCTGGGAATGTCACCTTGCGAGGCCATTCTTGAGTAGCACGTGCTTTCATTACTATGAGATCTGTATATTCTTCCTAATTTCAGTTCTAGAGTAACCCCCAATCAACCACCCCC